TGTCAATGTTGTCGTTGCCGTCGCTCCCGCTGGTTATGCTACTTTTCTCGGTCAGGCCGAGGGTATCTGGCAGTGCCAACAGAGAGGACATATTCCTCCCGCTTTGAATCTACGCATTTGTGCCTAAAATGACTGAAGTGGCCGATATTTCGCAAAGCAGCTGAGTGCCTCTGCTTGAGCATAGAGAGTGGATGACTACGTGACAGATTGCCTTTGTACTTACAGTGAGCCTTGACAAGAAATACCGTTGCAGGTTGGCCCAAAATGCCTCGGACATCGCTCAACATCGGTGAACTGCCAGCCGGTATGCAGCCCACGCGTAGGCCACCTTTGCTGCCTACGCCCACGTTGCCGAAAACTCCGCAACGCGAGCAACTGGCGAACAGCAAGGAGCTACCGGTGAGGATTCTGTGCCTGGATTCCGGTCAGGGTCCGCCGTCGGCGCTCCAGCTGCGACGGCTGCTGGGCTTCTCCGTAGTGGTGGACCACGTGGCTCCAGCAGATCGGTGCGAGGTTGCTGTGTACGAGAACCTGGTTTCCGAGGTGTATGTCAACTTACAGCCTGAACGGCTGCCAAAGGACGCATTCATGCAGATCGTCGTCAAATGGTGAGCGCAGATCAGACGCATATGGCAAATTTAGGATTACCTTCTTATTTCCGATTTATGCTAATGTTTTTCGTCGCAATGTTTATGGTATAGTTCTGCATATGGTGTCATGTGTAGTCGGCGCTCAGGCTTGCTAGAATATTCCTTGAAAGGAAGGTCAGGACTTTTCTATGAATAATGCGAAATGGTTTGAATGTTTGCGGAACGAATATTCAAGTCTTTAATATCTAATAACAAGAAAATCAGGACGTCGAACGGATTAAAAAGTGAATGCATTCGGGTTTGTTTGGACGCGTTGCTATTTCGCTGTGGTTACATTCAAGCTTGCAAGCCCATTTCGCAAGCGTCTTCCTGCTAGGAGTACTCATACTGACAACTGGGCAATGAGTACGTATCATTGCAGGCGTTTCGGAAGGGAAATTTTAGTCAAGTTAGAGGAGAACTTCATATACTTGCTCAAGCGCAAGGTTCACTTGGAAAACAAGCAAAAAGACACAGTAGTGTGCAAAAGTACAACGCTTGTCTGTGCGTGTTTTACACAGTGGCGCACTCGCCGAAATCAAGTGTGATGAGCGTTCAACTACAACCCATTTCGTGAAACTCTTGAAACAACAGCACAAGAAATATTGAAAGAGTGACGCTGGGCTTCAGTGAAAAATCTTGTCGAGATGATTTGCATGAAAATGGGAACGCGTTACAAGCGATTGCAAACATGCGTTTTACACGTTCCCCCACAAGCAGAACGCAAGCGCGTACCCCATTCCGTTTCAATTTCGGAACGGGTTCCCGTTACAAGTTCCTGCAAAGCGAAATTAAACGCGTCACAGTTACATCTCGAAATTGCGCCACCAGAAGTTCCCGTCGCTTACTCAACGCCCGCGCGAAGCGTGAATGGGTCCATTCGGCGAAATTTTCGTCTCTTCTTCGTACCGTTCGAGGTCTTTCTGGCGCAGCGTATAGCGGTGTAGCCTTCCATGTGAGGCTGGTATTGTTCGCGACACTCCTCGGAGTAAAATTTTTGTCACGCGCTGCCTCGATCACACTTTCGCCCCGCCACGGTGGTCTAGTGGCTAAGGTACTCGGCTGCTGACCCGCAGGTCGCGGGATCAAAGCCCGGCTGCGGCGGCTGCATTTCCGATGGAGGGAGAACTGTTGTAGGCCCGTGTGTTCAGATTTGGGTGCACGTTAAAAAACCTCCACTACGGCGTCTCTCATAATAGTATGGTGGGTTTGGGACGTTAAACCCCACATATCATCGATCACGCTTGCAAACACGACTGCTTCTGCACTCCCTGGCCGCCTCTGACAAAAAAAGGCTGCCTACCCATAGTGCATAGCGTCACTGCCGTTCATGCAAGCTCCCTATGCTCACAGCAAAAAAAAAGCCACCCGCGTCTTCTTACGGGGGAGAACTGGAGTAAACACATCGCCTAGTAGGGGTGAGTGTATATCTGTCACAAAACGAGCGCTCAAAAAGGGCGCGCCGCCACATTCTCGCGACGAAGCGCCAGAGTGACGCCACGAGGTCAACCACTAAAAAAAGAAAACAAACATCCAACGACTCCCTGGGCGCGCGCCTCTCCCCTCGGAAGCATGGGCTCGCCGACGAACCTCCTCACCCCACATCGGCGGCCTAGCAAGCCCTCGAAATTTCTAGAACGAAAGAGGCGTGGTCATGCCGAGTTGAGTCATCCGACGCGGAGGGCATTCGAACCGTCTCGCCCTCTCCCCAGCCTTCGCTGCGTATCGCGCCGACGAAATGACGAGAACCTTCTGGAAACTCGCGCGGAAGGTATTTAATCGAGCGGCCGAGACGAGAGGGTAGGAGAAGACGGAAGTTAGCGCCAGAGCGCGTAGGGATTCCGCCGTGTAGTCGGCGAAGGTTTTGTCCGTAGAGACAAAGCAGGAGTAGATGATTTCCACCCGAGGGGTGACGACTCGAGCTACAGACAAGAGTGTGTGTTTACCGCTATCGAGCGAAGACGCGTGGCAACAGCTGCGCGTGTGAAGCCGACGTGTTTCCGGCGAAGAAATTTGAAGCTTGGAGAGTGGCCAATTGAAGACGCGAGGTTTCCTGGAAGAGAAACTTCGGCGAGGTTTCCTGGAAGAGAAACTTCGAGGGTTGCGGAACGACAACAACGCGGGACTTTGAGTGAGTGATTCTCGGAAGAGTATCATCAAGACTTTTGTTCCAAGAACTTTGGACTGGATAGGTTTTCTATCTCTTTAGTCTTTAAGTGTCTTGGTTGTTCAATGCATGCGACTGCATTGTAGTGCGTATCGTTGTCTGTGTCCGTTGTTTCGAGTGTGGCTGATTGTACTGTGTAGTACGTTGTTAGATTGGTGACATATTGTATGCAACTATTGTGGAGTGTGCATTCTTGTGTATTGTTTTCGATCTGCCGTTATTGAGAATATAATTTTGTTTGGTTATCACCTCTCGGCTCTGACTTGTTCTTTGGGCCACAGCCGGCGTCCGCTGGCGCGCCAAAAAGGACCACTTCTAAATTGTCCACGCTTTCGTGGTGCGGTTCGGGGGGCCGATACTTCAGCCCTTGGAATTAGCCCGGCGATCGCCTCCCTAATTAACGGGACCTGTGACAATTAATCTGGCGTCCGCGACAGGACCTTTTGGTGCACAGTGTGTCCAAAGTAGTGAGAAAGAGCCTCGAGTTGTTGATAGTGCTATCAGAACGATTTTGTGTGTTGCTCAGTGTTCTCGTTAACGAGTGCAGGTGAGTGTTCTGATAGACTGATTTAGGCAGATACTTTTTACACGCGGCAAGACTTTATTTGCGAACCACCATGGATCTCGAAAAGTTAGTTGCTCTTGGTGAGAAGATGGGTCTTTCTGGCGCCGAACTACGGAAATGGGTAAGCCAGAAGGAGAAAGAGGCGGTGGAGAGAGAGAGAGGTTGGCAGCTGAGAGAGCCAAGGAAGAAAAAGCATCTGAATTGGAACGAGAGAGGTTGGCAGCTGAGAGAGCCAAGGAAGAAAAAGCAGCTGAGTTGGAACGAGAGAGGTTGGCAGCTGAGAGAGCCAAGGAAGAAAAAGCAGCTGAGTTGGAGAGAGAAAGGCTGGCCGCTGAAAGGGCGAAGGAAGAAAGAGAGCAACCATTGAAGTTCGAGTTGGAGAGAGAAAAGTTGGCAGCCAAAAGGGCGAGAGAAAAAAGAGAGCAGCAATTGAAGTTGGAGCTGGAGAGAGAAAGACTGGCAGCTGAGAGGGGCGAAAGAAGAAAGAGAGGAAAGGGAACGGCAGCGACAGCACGAGATAGAACTCGAGCGGCTCCGTTTGCAACAGCGAAGTGAAACTCCCGTCCAAGATAGAGTTGAAAGCAGCGAACGGGAAGATCATGGCTTCCGCTTGAACCCAAGCAAGCTGCTCGTAGCGTTTGATGAAAGGAAGGACGACCTTGACGCGTACCTTCACCGATTTGAGACGATTGCAAGGAGCCAGAATTGGCCGGAACATCAATGGGCAACTGCTTTGAGTACCTGCTTGAGTGGTGAAGCGCTCAGTGTGTACGGCAGGCTGACGCCGACCGATGCAGCCAACTACGCAAAGGTTAAAGCTGCTTTGCTGAAGCGATTTAGATTTACTGTGGAAGGATTCCGGGACAGATTTCGGACAGGAAAGCCAGCTGATGGTGAGACGGCTACGCAGTATGCCGCCCGACTTTGCCATGATTTCGACAGATGGATTGAACTTTCAGGGACAGCGCAGGAGTACGATGAGCTTAGAGAGCTCCAAATTAGAGAACAATTTCTTACTAGTTGCCACCCAAGCCTGTCGCTGTACTTGAAAGAGAGGAGAGCCAAGTCACTTGAAGACATGCTTGAATTAGCTGATCAATTCTTGGAAGCGCAAGGTGGCACTAATTTGGCCATGGTCAAGAAGGAGTGTCCCGAAGATTCGAAGAAATCGGCTCCCGAAAAAAAGAAGCGTGCACCGGAGAGCATTCCGCGATGTTTTCTGTGTAACCGAGTGGGTCACCGTGCTAACCACTGCCGAACTAACTTCACGAGCTCCACGGTTGTAAAATGTTTCAAATGTGGTCAGACTGGGCACAAGGCAGACGCATGTCGTAACGGAGCGAGTCAAACTCACCAGGTATCCTGTGCACAAGTGGCACCAAAAACCTTTGATGACGTCACCGATGGATTCGTAGAGTTGAAAAATGGGGAGAAAATCCCTATTGTGGGTGCTGTAATCACAAAACAGCAAACAGGTGCTACGAAGGGAATGCCTGTGATGGCTGGAAAAGTGGCGGGAAGGCGTGTAGGCGTTTTAAGAGGCACTGGGTGCTCCACTGTAATAGTACGAAGAGACCTTGTCCGTGACGACGAACTCACGGGCCAAACCAGCCTGATTTACACCGTCGACCGTTCGATCATGAGGCTGCCTGAGGCCAAGGTCAAGATCGAGACGCCCTTCTACAGTGGAACTGTTTCTGCCTTCTGCATGGATGATCCATTGTATGACGTAATCGTGGGGAACATCGAGGGCGCCCGTTCGCCGGACCAACCCGAACCACTGGAAGAGGACCCAGAAATCGATCCACCATCGATTGCAAACCCTCACGACCAACCAGCCACGGCCGACGAGGACGTAGTCGCAGTTGCGACCCGAGCACAGACCAAAGCCCAGTCGAAGCCATTCCAGCCCCTCCCTGCACCCAATTCCGAGGAGGACCCGAGCTTCAGCTATGCCGAGGAACAAATCCAGGACGAGTCGTTAAAACCCTGCTTTGCGCAAATCGACAAGGACCTCAGATGCCGTAATAGTAAGTGCGCGATAATGTTCAAGCAGGAAGATGGACTGCTCTACAGGTACTATACGGAGAGGAGTGGTCAACAGATACGACAGCTCTTGGTGCCGAAGAACCGCCGAGAGGCTGTTATGAAGCTAGCCCACGATGAAATAATGGCTGGGCACCTGGGAGCCGAGAAAACCAAGGACAGAATTCAGGAAGAATTCTTCTGGCCCTGTGTCACAGCCGACGTGAAACGATTCGTGGCGTCTTGCGATATCTGCCAGCGAACTGTGCCAAAAGGAAGGGTGTCACACGTGTCACTCGGCCAGTCCCCCGTCATAAACATCCCCTTTAAAAGGGTAGCTATTGATATAGTAGGCCCTATCCGACCTCCATCCGGTCAAGGAAACCGCTATATCCTGACTCTCGTCGATTGCGCCACGCGCTACCCGGAGGCAGTTGCACTACCTGGCATAGAGACCGAACGAGTCGCAGAGGCCCTCGTTGAGATGTTCTCCCGTTTTGGTGTACCGAGGGAAGTCCCAAGTGATCGGGGCTCGAATTTTACGTCGGAGTTAATGAAGGAAGTGGCACGACTTCTATCGGTGCGCCAACTCCATACCACCCCTTACCACCCGATGGCCAACGGGATGGTGGAAAAATTTAATGGCACCCTGAAGACTATGCTCAAAAGAATGTGTGCGGAGAAACCAAAAAACTGGGACAGATTCCTCGGTCCGTTGCTGTTCGCGTACAGAGAGGTTCCTCAGGCAAGTCTCGGCTTTTCACCGTTCGAGCTACTGTACGGCCGACATGTCCGGGGACCCCTGGCGATTTTAAAGGAAGTCTGGACGAACCAAGAGCTGGACGATGAGCTGAAGACAACCTACCAGTACGTATTGGATCTCCGAAATCGTCTAGAAGAGACGTGCCGCCTAGCTCACGAAGAACTCCGAAGGGCGGGAGCACGCTACGCTAAGCACTACAATCGAAAATCAAGGGATAGAGTATTCCAACCAGGAGATAAGGTTCTCATCCTGCTTCCAACTGATAAAAATAAACTCTTGCTGCATTGGAAGGGGCCCTTCGAAGTGCAGGCGACAATTAGGGACTTCGGTTACTCCATAAAGACGCCGAGCGGGCCGAAAATTTTCCATGCCAATTTGCTGAAGAAGTATGCGGAGCGGGAAACTAAACAAGATGCGCCACATCAATGCCAAGTCATCGTAGGGGTTATTGACAATGGAGATGAACAGGAACTACCGGTGCCGGAGTTCGTGCAGACAGAAGGGATTACTGACGTCAAGATCTGCCCAAGTTTGACGGACCAACAAAAGGAGGAGTTGGAGAAAACCATGACAGCGCACTCTAAAATATTTTCGAATGTCCCGGACAAGACAGATTGGGTGGAGTGCCACCTCGAGACAGTGACGGAGTCCCCAGTCCACGTCAAACAGTACCCGTTACCTTTTGCTACGACTAAAGACATCGAGGCCGAGGTACAGCAAATGAAAACACTGGGCATAATTGAAGTCTCGAAATCGCCCTATAATTCCCCAGTGTTGCTTGTGGACAAACCGGACAAAACCAAGCGGATTGTAGTCGATTTCCGGCGCCTGAACAACCTCATAATAGCAGATGCGGAGCCCATGCCTAGAGCAGATGCCGTTTTTGCCAGTGCCACAAACAAAAGATACTTCTCTAAGTTAGATTTTGTTAAGGGCTACTGGCAAATCCCACTCTCCCAGCAGTCGAAACCTAAGACTGCGTTTTCGACAAAATCCGGTCTCTACCAGTTTTGCTACATGCCTTTCGGGATCAAAACGGCACCCGCTGTGTTTGCCCGGCTTATGCGACTAGTCACTGAGGGAATCCCGGGCGTTGAACATTACTACGACGACGTACTCATAACAAGCACGACCTGGGAGGAACACCTATCCACTCTCAGACAACTTTTTGCTCGAATTCAGGCTGCTGGGTTGACCGTTAGACCGAGCAAGTGTGAGTTGGGAATGAACGAGATTGATTTCCTTGGTCATCACATTGGACAAAACATGCTTGCTCCACCGGGAAAGACTCTCGACAAAATCCAACCTTCACCCGCCCAAAAGACGAAGCGACAGGTACGCGCTTTTCTCGGGTTGACCAGCTATTACCGGGAGTTCATTCCAAATTATGCCGAGATCAGCGCCCCTCTCACAGAACTGATCAAGAAGGGTGAAGGCAACTTAGTAAAATGGACGACGACACACGAGAAAGCATTTGCGAAACTCAAGGAATGCATCTCGAACCCTCCCGTGCTCCGCCTCCCAGACTTAACCAAGGAATTCATCCTCCGCACCAACGCTTCCGACACCAGCCTCGGGGCTGTGCTCTTGCAGTCACACGAAGGGACCCTCTATCCTATAGCATACGCCAGTCGCAAACTACTTCCCCGGGAATCATCCTACAGCACCATCGAAAGAGAATGTCTAGCCCTGGTGTGGGGGATACAGAAGTTTAATATTTATCTCTACGGAGTTCCTTTCTTGGTCCAAACTGACCACCAGCCTCTCCAGTACATAAAACAGGCTAAACAGCTCAACAGCAGAGTGTTGAGGTGGAGCTTGCTCCTGCAAGAGTATCAGTTCCGAGTCGAGCACATCAAGGGAAGCGAGAACGTTGGTGCCGACTACCTTAGCCGAGTTTGAATGTTTTGGAAGGGTCTGACAGCAGTGAATGCAATAGGCTGTGTTGTTATTGTGTTATCCGGTGTCGAGCGAATCAAAATGTTTGTTACGGTGATGTGATGTGATGTATTGTACAATTGTTGTAATGAATAAACTTTGTACATTTGTATTGTTTGGAATATGTGATGGAGTGTTGTACTCATGTACCTGTGGTTATATTTCATGTGTGTGAGATTGAATTGTAATGTCCAATCGTATTGAGTGATATATTGTGAATGTGACGTGTCATGAGCGACGGACTATGTTACAGTCTTTGAGAGTGTGGGGACTGTTCGCGCTCGTTTGTGTGGTTTTGAATATTATGAGATAATATTCTTAAAGTGGGGGGCAGTGTTACAGAACGAGCGCTCAAAAAGGGCGCGTCGCCAAATTCTCGCGACGAACCGGCGGAATGACGCCGCGAGGTCAACAAAAAAGAAAGAAAAAGAAAACAAACATCTAAAGGCTCCCCGGGCGCGCGAGCCTCTCCTCTCGGAAGTGTGGCTTCGCCGACGAACCTCCTCACCCCACATCGGCGGCCTAGCAAGCCCTCGAAATTTCTAGAACGAAAGAGGCGTGGTCATGCCGAGTTGAGTCATCCGACGCGGAGGGCATTCGAACCGTCTCGCCCTCTCCCCAGCCTTCGCTGCGTATCGCGCCGACGAAATGACGAGAACCTTCTGGAATCTCGCGCGGAAGGTATTTAATCGAGCGGGCGAGACGAGAGGGTAGGAGAAGACGGAAGTTAGCGCCAGAGCGCGTAGGGATTCCGCCGTGTAGTCGGCGAAGGTTTTGTCCGTAGAGACAAAGCAGAAGATGATGATTTCCACCTGAGGGGTGACGACTCGAGCTACAGACAAGAGTGTGTGTTTACCGCTATCGAGCGAAGACGCGTGGCAACAGCTGCGCGTGTGAAGCCGACGTGTTTCCGGCGAAGAAGTTTGAAGCTTGGAGAGTGGCCAATTGAAGACGCGAGGTTTCCTGGAAGAGAAACTTCGGCGAGGTTTCCTGGAAGAGAGACTTCGAGGGTTGCGGAACGACAACAACGCGGGACTTTGAGTGAGTGATTCTCGGAAGAGTATCATCCAGACTTTTGTTCCAAGAACTTTGGACTGGATAGGTTTTCTATCTCTTTAGTCTTTAAGTGTCTTGGTTGTTCAATGCATGCGACTGCATTGTAGTGCGTATCGTTGTCTGTGTCCGTTGTTTCGAGTGTGGCTGATTGTACTGTGTAGTACGTTGTTAGATTGGTGACATATTGTATGCAACTATTGTGGAGTGTGCATTCTTGTGTATTGTTTTCGATCTGCCGTTATTGAGAATATAATTTTGTTCGGTTATCAACTCTCGGCTCTGACTTGTTTTTTGGGCCACAGCCGGCGTCCGCTGGCGCGCCAAAAAGGACCACTTCTAAATTGTCCACGCTTTCGTGGTGCGGTTCGGGGGGCCAATACTTCAGCCCTTGGAATTAGCCCGGCGATCGCCTCCCTAATTAACGGGACCTGTGTGACATCTGTTTACTAAAGATATTCAAGAGCACCATTTGGATCTTTATTCTCCGAACGGATCGACGTCATTTTTTCCTTTCACCCATGCGCTAACATTTAGGTGAATCTTAAAGAAGCCCTAGTGTTCAATATTAATCCGCAGTTTTCTGCTACGGCGTGCCTCGCATTCATTACATAATGCTGGTGCGTAAAAACCCTCGAATTTATTTTCGTTGCAGATCACGATGAGAAGCTTTCCTGTACCTGACTTCCCGGAAGACGTTCTGCGGTACCGGTACGGCTTCTTCTGGCTGGCGTCTACTACCTTCCTTTTCCCGATGTACAGGATCATCAGTCGCCTTTGCTTCGAGAACAACAGCGGCCTCAGGGTAAATATGCCTAAATCGTACATCCAGGCCCGTAGCAAGGAATTCTTTTTTCGGTGAGGAGAGGGGCACGTGTTCAGAGCCTTAAAAATCCTTATTTTTGTTATTTGTCCTTGGTTCCTTGGTTAAAAAAAAACCCTTTGATGCGAATTTCGGAGAGGGCCCAGGCCCACAAGGCAATGCACTCCCCCCTCCTCTCGCTACGAGTCTAGTTACGTCGTTATGGCGACGGCCCAACGTCTCTCGCACAGTGATGCCAAGAGAATTAAAGGGGTTGTTATTAGAATCAGTCGTATGTAAATGTGAAGAAAGAAGCGTACGAAGAGATAACTTGCCAACGGCAGGATCCGAACCTGTGACCTTCGAATAACGTATCCGATGCTCTACCACTGCTTTACTTACGGTGGCGGTCATTCTTCCGTCCAATTTATAACGTATGTGTGTAATAAACGTGGGAGCGACAGTCAGCGCCGCCTATGGTCATTGTGGCGAGTGTGGAACTCTGTTTGTTGGGGTCTGATGTGATTACGAGCTAACAGCTGATCAGGGGTCTTATTACGAGCTGAAGATCCCTAAATTTACTATTTTTCCTTCATCCATACGAGAGTATTGTTGTGGCAGTCTTGATGCCTTCAGGTAGCAATCGAGGGAATGTTGGTCAGCTTCCAAGGTCGTTGGTCAGCTGCTCTGGAAGCACGACGATGTGCCAATGCCATTGCATATACCGGAACGCTGTACAAGCTTACTCTTCTCACTGTTTGATGTCGTCACCTGCTCAACGTGTAAATGCGGCATGCAGGAGTACCAGCTGATGATGGGACTTGGCAACTGCTTCTACTGGACGGGCCATTTCGCGTGTGCCTTTTGCTTCTTCGTGTTGCACAGCGCCATCTGCGTATATGGCGCCGTCGGATACAGGCATTTCGACACCGGCGCCCCCTACCTCGACCGCACGGACCCTTCGCTGCTGCTCGTGGCGTTGCTGCTGCACAGCGTATCGCAGATACTACTCGCCATGCTCGCTGCCTGCGTGTTGAACTTGGGTAGGTGGGAACGTATTTTTGTCCTTTGCTATACGCGACGTCCTGAGTGTTATGGATTATTTATTTACTAATCAACTAATTTAATATGTACGACATTACTCTGTCCGACACTAAGCAGGTGGGAATGCATCGTAACAACATATATTATAAAAAAGCGCTTAACAAAAAAAACAGCAATAGCAGATTAAGAGAACCATAATAACAAGCAAAAAACAACAGCGTACTGGTACCGTACCACGGAATATGCGGAATGCTGTTCCTCCTTGGTCCTCCCTTATTGGTCGTTTGAGCCTGTCAGTTAAACAAGCGACTGCCTGCGGCACTATGACCTCTTTTCGTTGGCTATACTTAAATACTTCAGGGCCTCCTGCATGTGCACAGCATATCGTAGTGATATGAATCAAAAGTAATAGTATTCCGTATTTCATGGTAGGGTGCCCCCAGAGTGCACTAATAGATCAAAAGAAAAAAAACAGTGCAGTATGACATATATCAGGCGAGTAGAAGCAGCATAACTGGCCTATGATATTTATTTATTTATTTATTTATTTAAAAAGTCCTTATATGGGCATTTTTTGGATTCCCCCTTACCAAAGGCCATAGGCATTGGGTAAGAGGGAATCTCAAAAAATTATCACACACAGTGAATACCTAATGTTACACAGCGTGAAATGAATAAAATTACCCACATAGCTTCGCAACACAGTAAAATATTGATTAATAATGGAAAAAGGAGCAAAAGAGTACACCAATACATGTACAACTAAAACGTATTAGACAGAACATGAAAATATACATTTTTTAAACGCGCAGGCAATTCAAAATAAAAAAAATATGGTTTAAGGATTAAATATAGCCGTTTGGGATATTTCCTCTTTAATTGCACGCTGTTCAAAGTTTTCCTATTGAAGTACATACGCGTAATAGTCTAAACTATCCCGCTTTCCGGTTTCACTTGCAATCTGGCCACCTAAGAGTCTGGAGGCAGAGGGCTATAATATGGCTTAAGGCGGGCAACGTGGACGATGTCACGTCCATGCCGGCGCATGTCGTCAGATGGGGGAAAGTGACTCGATGAGAAAATGCACCGGCGGGTTTGCTCCAAAACGCGGTATGGGCCCTCGTACTTTGGAACGAGTTTGAGGAAATGCCGGGGGTTTGGTAAGGAACAGCCAGCCATACAAGTGATCCCGGGGAATAAGCTGGGGCTTTGTGAAGAGTCGACGTTGTTTTCTTTCTGGCGCTGTTGTTCTCAAACGTACAGGTGCGTGCGAGTTCACGGCACTCTTCCGACATTTCGGGCAGCTTCGGACACAGATGGGCATTCGGATGCGTCAGGACGGTATGGAAGAAGAGTATCGATGGTGTGGGAATGGTTCGCGTTCATAAAGAAGAAAGAAAGGTGAAATCCAGTGGTAGACTGTGCGCGGTGTATATGCGAACGTAATGAATGGAAGAATGCGATCCCAGTTAGTATGATCGGAGTCACATACATGGCGAGCATATCGCCAAGGGTGCGGATAAATCTTTCCGTGAGCCTGTTAGTCTGCGGGTGGTATGCCGTGGTCTTGCGATGAACAACAGGCATTCAGAAAGCAGAGACGTGACGACTTCTGATAGGAAGGCTTCGACCTCGATCGCTTAGTAGTTCTCGAGGTGCACCATGTCGTAATATGAAGCGATGAAGGATGAAGGATGCTACGTCCCGCACAGTGGCACTTGGAAGGGCGGCGGTCTCAGCGTTAGCGTGTTAAATGGTCCACAGCGACTATAATCCACTGATTTTTCATCTGATGTTGTCGGTTAGAAGGCCATAGAGATCAATTTCCGATCCGATCGAAAGGTTTGGCAGGGCACGGAAGCGGTTCTTGAAGCGCACCGGACGAGTGGAAAGGCGGTGATTTGCGACGTTGACAGTCAGGACAGCCCATAACGAATTTTCGAACGAAATTATACATTCCGCGCCAGTAGAAGCGATGGCGAATGAGTTCGTAAGTTTTGAAACTCCGCCATGACCACATTGGGGATCGTCGTGAAAGGAGGCGCAGATTTGTGATCGCAAGCTGCGCGGGACAACCAAGAGCCACTTACGACCTTCGGGGGCGTAGTTGCGTCGGTGTGTAGTAGCCGATCACGAATGGCGAAATGAGCAGCTTGACGTCGGAGAGATCGTGGTACCGCAGTGGTTGACGATCCAGAAAGACAGTTAAAAAGAGAAGCGATCCACGGGTCCTTGTGTTGTCACTGGTAAAGGAGTCGAGGTCGAGAAATGCGATGAGATACCAGTGGTTCCGCAGGCCGAGTCGGGAGGTAAAGGCGAACGCGACAGGGCGTCGGCGTCAGAATGCTTGCGTCCGCTGCGATAGATGACACGAATGTCGTACTCCTGGATTTGCCAGTTGCCCACCGAGCTAGGCGGCCAGAAGGGTCTTTCTATGTGGCGAGCCAACAAAGTGCATGGTGGTCCGTTACCAGGTCGAATGGGCGACCGTACAAATAAGGGCGGAACTTGTGGAAGCGCCCACACTAGCGCCAAGCACTCTTTTTCAGTGACGCTGTAATGGCCCTCAGCTTTAGTAACGTGTGCGACTCGCATAAGCGACGACGTATTCGGAGTAGCCCGGCTTGCGTTGGGCGAGGACGGCGCCTAGACCAACCCCACTAGCGTCTGTGTGAACTTCCGTTGCAGCTGTTGAGTCGAAATGCCGAAGAATTGGAGGAGATGTTAGCAGACTACGGAGCGTGGCAAACGCGACGTCGCAGTCAGAAGCACCGGATGAAGGTCTGCATCGCCGCGTAGGAGGTTTGTCAGTGGTGACATGATCGATGCAAAATTTCGCACGAAGCGCGGAAGTACGAACATAGTCCGACAAAACTGCGTAATTCTTTCAGTGTAGTAGGTTTCGGGAACTCAGCTTCTGCTCGCAGTTTTGCAGGGTCGGGTCGAACACCATGCTTGGAGACGATGTGGTGCCCTAAGATGGACAGCTCTTCGCGCGGCGAAGCGGCAACTTTTTAAGGTTTAGTTGGAGCCCACGCGTTGGTTAAACACGTCAGAACCAGTTGGAGCCGAAGCAGATGGTAGGAAAATCGGGAGAGGAAACGACAATGTCGTCGAGGTAGCATAGACACACAGACCACTTCAGTCCACGCAGTGTGTTGTCCATGAGCCGTTCAAACGTGGCAGGAGCATTACAAAGACCAAATGGAATACGTTTAAATTCGTACAGGCCATCTTGTGTAATGAACGCAGTTTTCTGGCGATCAGCTTCGGCCATAGGAACCTGCCAGTATCCAGATCGTAAGTCTAAGGAGGAGAAGAATTCGGCTCCTGTAGGCTGTCAAGGGCGTCGTCCTATGCGCGGTAATGGATAGACGTCTTTCCGCGTCACCTGTGTTTAATCGCCGGTAGTGGACGCAAATGAAATCGATCATCTTTTTCGAACTAGAACGGACCGGAGATGCCCAAGGGACTGTGCGATGGTCGCAATAACGCGACGGCGTAGCATCTCTTCGACCTGGTCATTGATGACGTGACGTTCTGCAGCAGAGGACACGGTACGGTCTTGACGCAATGGCTGGTGCGAACCGTGTGTCAATGTAGTGGTGCACTGCGGAAGTCAGACCCAATTGCGGCTGATGAAAAGTCGAATGAATTCGCGAAGTGCTGGAGGAGATTAAGAAGCTCGGCGCGTTCATGGGCACTTAAGGTGTCGGCGATGAATATCGAGAAGGCTGTCACTCGATGAGACTCCAGTGGGGGAAAGGGCATGAAGTTTCGGTCGAGGCGCTACTGCACGATTCGTCGGGCAGTAAGGAATAAAGAGGAATCGAGGTACTCCACTCGACCGAGACATTCGCCGGCAAGTAGCGTAAGCGGTGCAGAAAGGGGGTTGTGCACGAAAATATTGCTTCGGCCCCGCAGTGACGTCGAGTGTAGCGAAGGCCAGGAAACGGCCTCTGCGGCTCATGAAAATGTCGGAAGGTTGTAAACATTACTGTAGCATCGTTATAGTCATCGCAGCAACCGGGGACAAACGGCAAGAGAGGCTGGCGGAATTTCAGTGTCCTCACGCACGACAAGTTTTGGCGACCGCTCAAGGGTTTCGTGCAAAGGTTCGTCACACAGGTGCGAAAATTGAAACTTCAAGCGCGTGCGCAGTCGATGATGGCATGATGATTTGACAGAAAGTCCCACCGAGGATAAACGTCATGCGAGACACCGAAAGGACGATGAACTCGACAACGTACATAGAGCCTTGGATGAATATGCGGGCCGTTACAGGTGCCAGAGGTCGAACTTGTTGTGCGCTAGCTGTACGAAGTGATGATAGTCCAGAGAGCGGCGTGGTCACTTTGCGTAGGGAGCGGCAGAGCTGGGCGGCTATAACTAAACGGCAGCACCTGTGTCGACGAGGGCAAAGGTAGAACACCATCGACAGATATAGCGACGACGTTAGCTGGTAAAGTGCGAGGACTCCTTGAGCATTTCGACGACGGCGCAGTTCTTGCCTCTGGAACTGCGGCGTTCAGTTTTCCCGGTTTGGAGGAAGCGGGTATAGGACGCATGGGGACAGTGATCGCCTGCGAGGAGATGGGGCGCGGGGAGAGTGAGTTTGAGGCAGGTGTGACCGAGACTCAGGAAAGTTAGTGTATCCATACTGCGGTGAGGGATAGGGAGCAGGTATGTGCATGGGCTGTGGGTCATACGGTAACGGCCGAGTATCGTCGTGGAGTGGTTGGAAGCGACGGCGACCAATATCGTGCCACGTGTCCTGGAGTACCGCAGGCGTAGCAGATCGGTCGATTGTCAGGAGTGCGCCAGGAATTGCGACTCGTGGTGCGGCCCAAGGTGTCGAAAATGGGGCGGAGTGGGGAGCGACTGAAGACATGGGTGGCAAATCTGCTGTGGCGGGGTCTGCTACGTACACCTGGGCATACGTAAGAGGCGCGGCCACGGGCCTGCACAGCCGGCGCCATGGGCAACAGGCATGGCCACAGGCTGATGGTGGGCAGCGACGGGAACAGCCTGAGCTACCTCTTCGGCAATAACGTCGCTGGGGGCAGACGAGAGGACGGCGGCTGCTGCGTGAAGGGAATCAACGCAGTTGCCCGAGCTACTTCTTCACGCACAAAGTCTTTAATCTCTTGCAGGGTTGGTGAGTGGTCGGGAACAGAAGTGAGGACTGGAGAGCGAGTCGGCGTTGTGAGGAAAATGGGCGATAGTCAGGGCGCGCTGCTTGCTCAACTCGTCGAAACTTTGACACAAAGTGACAAGTTCCGCAACGGTGGCAGGATTACCGGCCAGGAGCAGCTGATATGCACCGTCATTTATCCCTTTGAGGATGTGTTGAATCTTCTCCGACTCGGGCATGGTGGTGTTCACACGGTTGCAAAGACCAATAATGTCTTCGATGTAGCTGGTGAAAGATTCCGTTGGCTTTTGTGCGCGAGTCCGCAAGCATTGTTCGGCTCTGGACTTGCGGACTGCGGGTCGGCCAAAAACGTCAGCAAACAAGGTTTTAAAGATGGACCACGTCGTGATGTCGTTTTTGTGGTTGTTATACCACATTTCGGCCACGTCAGTGAGGTAAAAGATGACGTAAGTCAATTTGTCCGCGTCATCCCACTTGTTGTTAGCGCTCACCAGTTCATAGTTAGCGAACCAGTCTTCCACGTCGGTCTCATCAGCTCCGCTAAAGACCTTGGGCTCTCGCAAACGAAGAACGCCGGGGTTGCTGGGGGATGGAGTGGAAGAGCCAGGTTGCGCGTTGTTGGTAGCCATGATGGGAGGTAGCGTTCGGTTGCGCAGCTCCAGGTTCATACGAGGTTATTGTTCTGGCAGTCTTGATGCCTTCAGGTAGTCATCGAGGGAATGTTGGTCAGCTTCCAAGGTCGTTGGTCAGCTGCTCTGGAAGCACAACGATGCGCCAACACCATTGCATATACCGGAACGCTGTACAAGCTTACTCTTCTCACTGTTTGATGTCGTCACCTGCTCAACGTGTAAATGCGGCATGCAGGAGTACCAGCTGATGATGGGACTGGGCAACTGCTTCTACTGGACGGGCCATTTCGCGTGTGCCTTTTGCTTCTTCGTGGTGCACAGCGCCATCTGCGTCTATGGCGCCGTCGGATACAGGCATTTCGACACCGGCGCCCCCTACCTCGACCGCACGGACCCTTCGCTGCTGCTCGTCGCGTTGCTGCTGCACAGCGTATCGCAGATACTACTCGCCACGCTCGCTGCCTGCGTGTTGAACTTGGGTAGGTGGGGGCGTACTTTTGTCCTTTTGCTACACGCGACGTCCTGAGTGTTATGGATTATTTATTTACTAATCAACTAATTTAATATGTACGACATTACTCTGTCCGACACTAAGCAGGTGGGAATGCATCGCAACAACATATATTAATAAAAAAGCGCTTAACAAAAAAACAGCAATAGCAGATTAAGAGAAACATGATAACAAGCAAAAAACAACAGCGTACTGGTACTGTACCACGGAATATGCGGAATGCTGTTCCTCCTTGGTCCTCCCTTATTGGTCGTTGGAACCTGTCAGTGAAACAAGCGACTGCCTGCGGCACAATGACCTCTTTTCGTTTGCTATACTTAAATACTTCAGGGCCTCCTGCATGCGCGCAGCGTATCGTAGCGATATGGATCAAAAGTAATAGTATTCCGTATTTCATGTAGGGTGCCCCCAGAGTGCACTAATAGATCAAGGGAAAAAACAGGGCAGTATGACATATATAAGGTGCACAGAAGCAGCATAACTGGCCTATGGTATTTATTTATTTATTTATTTATTTATTTATTTATTTATTTATTTATTTATTTATTTATTTATTTATTTAAAAAGTCCCACATAGACATTTTTTGGATTCCTCCTTTACCCGATGCCATAGGCATTGGGTGAGGGGCAATCTCAAAAAATTATCACACATAGTGAATACCTTTTGTTATACAGCGTGAAATGAATAAATTACCCACATAACTTCGCAACACAGTAAAATATTGGTTAATAATGAAAAAAGGAGCAAAAGAGTACACCAATGCATGTGCAACTAAAACGGATCAGACAGAACACGAAAATATACATTTTTTTAAACGCGCAGGCAATTTAAAATAAAAAAAATATGGTTTAAGGACCAAATAGAGCCGTTTGGGATATTTGTTCTTTTATTGCACACTGTTCAATGTTTCCCTATTGAAGTACATACGCGTAATAGCCTAAACTATCCCGCTTTCCGGTTTCACTTTTGAATTACGGAGTTTCGAATCTATGTATAGTCACTGGCAGGATATGAGGTCGTTTTTATACATAGTGCTTGTCTTTTTTTCCGGAATACTTATTATCTCGCAACGTAAACGTGAGCATGTACATCCCTGGCGTCCACTGATTGCCCGTGGTTGAACCAGAGCAGACAAGCAGACAGACAGACATTTATCGTTAGACGCCTTTTTTTGCCGAGCAGATATGCGGCATGGTGATGCTATGCACAAAAGCTCCGGTTCGAGACATAGGAGGATTTAAAAAATTGATGGAGTCGAAATGATTACGCAGAAGTGAAGCTGATCCTTTGGCAAGATGGCAGCTGTGGCGGCCATCTTACTGGGGGCATGGTAAAGTATCACCATTAAAAACAAAGCGTTTTCCTCGCACACCCAACGTGTTTTATGTGGGAACTCTTTCGGGTCACATAGTGCCCCAAGTGCGTCTTACAGTTACTGGTTTTCCTTATTGAGCCTCTAACTGGAAGCAAAGTTCTTTGAAGATTCAGTCATCCATACTCGTTTCTGTGTGTTATTTCGTCGAGAACAACTGTCTTTTAATATACAACTAACGTAGCATTTACATAACATATCAAGGCACCTAATCTTTAAATGGGTACTTTCGGAAAAGAGTATGTTTTCGCCATGTTGGCAGTGGCGGTAGCTGGCTTCACTTCTGTTGGCAAGACATTGCGGGAGCTTGCACTCCAGCAATTTTTCTTTAATCCTCCTTGTTCGGGATATGCCATGATCGGACGCGGACGCCGGACGCGCGTCGCATCGGCTCCGCAGATTTTCTATGGTTTTTCGGCGATTTCTGGTTGTTTGAAGTGCATCGGATTCGTGAAAGTACAGCGAACAGTGAACGTCGAATTTCAGCGGTGAGTGGCTGTTTTTCGGTTTTCTGCAAGCTGAAAACTTCGAGGCAGCGACCGTCGCGCCCGGCCAGACGCACCGCTGCATAGCGGCGTCTGCGTCGTGGTCGCGTCTCAAGCGTCGGCGGATGGACGCTCTTCAGGAAACACCGAGGTCTCCTCAGGAGCAGCCACTGGTTCACACAGATGAGGAGTCTGCTACAGAAACCACTCAAATGGACGTTCAGACCTGGTTACCGCAGGGTTCGTCCGAAGAAGTCGACAATGTGTCTGCAGGGGAACGCCACGATGGTGCCGCATGGACGGAGGATGGCTGGCACACGGTTTTGACACGCCGACAAAAGAAGAACCAGAAGAAAAACCAGAAAAACGCGTCAGAAGCTGTGGAGTGCAACGCCTCGTCAAGCAGCCCACCGAAGCAGGGAAGTCAGGTGAAGCGCCGACGTCGTACGAGAAGTCGCCGTCCGCTCCCGCCCCTGCCAAAGGACGACATAAAGATCATCCTTAGGCCTCACAAAGGCCTCGCCGTAAAAGACATACTCGGCTATGAACTTTCCACCGCTGTGATAGACGCTTGCCACCGACACTTCGACGGTGGTAGCTTCATGCTGCGCGTCCACCCGGGCTCGAATATTATCATCGTATCGACGCCCCACGAGCATGTAGCCAAAGAGCTGCGAGAGATCACGCATCTGAATATAAGGGGACGAGTGCACTCATTCAACTCGTATGTGGCGGATCCTGAGGACGTCCTACGAGGCATAGTCCATGGTATTCCGTCGGGGACTTCTCAAGCAGAACTCATGGCGAATCTCCGTGTGAGAACACAGGGGGTCAAGATTGAGCGGGCACGCATGCTCGGATCTACGAAGACCGCCATCATTACCTTCACGGGCAGCACACTGCCTAGGTGCGTCTATTTCATGGGAGCGGAAGCCATCTGTTATCCCCACAAGCCTACGAGGCAGGCTTGCAAGGTATGCCACTCCACAGGGCATCGAACTGACGTGTGCCCAACGCCCGACGCCAATGTATGCTCCACGTGTGGAACACGTGAACCCGCACAAGGACACGCGTGTACCCCTAAGTGCGTGATATGTGGTGAGGACCATATGACAGGTGACAAAATGTGCAAGAAGAAGCTTAAACACGTTCCGCCTAGGAGGTCCCGAGTGGATCAGCCAAAACGGAGGCACCATCCACGCTGGTTCAGCTCCGAGCGGGACTCGTCAGTGGAATCACGCTCACGTTCAAGATCCAAGTCACGGGCTTCCTCAAAGGGTCGAGCCCAGTCTGCGTCCAGAAAACGACTCAACAAACAGCCGCATCAGCAGCAGCACCAACAGCAGCAACAGCAGCAGCAACAACAACAGCAGCAGCAGCAGCAACAGCAGCAACAGCAACAGCAACAGCAGCAGCAGCAACAGCAGCAGCATCAGCAGCAGAAGAAGAAAGCGCTGGTACAAATCTTGACGCCGCCCAAAGAGGGGACGGAGGCAGCCGCCTGCCAGCCAGCAAACACGGTGAGCTGGACGAGGATTGTGTCTCCACCTGCTCCCTTAATTGAGAATCCCGAATATCAGAAAATGGTTGCCGAGAATAAGCAGCTTGCTTTAGAAAACGAGAAACTTCGATGCCAGATTAAGGAGGAACGCCGGGAGTTCCACAAAATCATATCATCTTTAGAAACCAAACTTGAAGCCAGGCTTAACGCCTTAGAGGCGAACAACAACGCCACTCATGCTATCTCCAGGGCAACCGTAGCCCACTCTTTGGAGGGAGGAACGGCGAAAGTAGACATACCTCAGAGGTTTAGCGAGGAGGCCCACGTTAGCCAGTTACAGATGGGGGAACAGTTGCAGAGCTTGCGAAACTTAATGCGAGAACTCCAATCACAACAGCAACGAGCAGCGTCTGAACTCCGAGAGCAGATGATGCAGCAAATGCATCAAATGTTTTCGGAGTACAGGAAAGAGTTTGCAGCAGAAACGGAACAACAAAGACGATACGTTAATGACTCTGTTGTAGGCATTCAGCGTGCCATCAACAAGCGGGTCAGTGTTACCTCCGCGAGCAGTCCACTACCGAAGGACCGTCGAATCACGGAGAAAGCAGACACCCCCCAATAAAGGCAGTAGTCACCATGGCGCGAACTAATTCCACGCAAAACTCCGACCACCTAGAAATCTGGCAGTGGAATTGTCGCACGTTCCACAAACGAGCGGCGGCATTGCAGAATTACATCCATTCGGCACTAATCCCACCTGATGTAATATGCCTGCAAGAAGTTGGGAACCGTCCCGTCAAATTGCAGGGATATTACACATTATACGATCCAAAATACCCCCGCGTTGCAGCGCTGGTGAGTAACTTCATGACAGTTGCGCTAGACCATTACGATCAGACTGACATTAATCACCAAATTATCGATGTCTTCCCACAAAAACGAGGAAAAGTACGAACGAAAATTTTAAACATATACAGTCCTCCCAAAAACCGGAATGACGACTTCGGCCCACTCCTAAACGAGGCAGTTCGAGCCGTTGGCACCAGAGATCAATTAGTGGTGGTGGGCGACTTTAATGCTCCGAGCACCGCTTGGGGCTACGTCCGGGATTCACCCAAGGGAGTGTTATTAGAGAACACCACGTCTAAATTAGGTTTTACCCTTATCACTCTGCCAACAGCACCCACCAGGCTTGGTAATAGCATTAGCAGGGACACGTACCCTGATTTGACCTTCACCTTCAACATTAAAAATGCCACGTGGTCAAACCTCGATGAAAACCTTGGTAGTGACCATTATATTCTTAGCACCTCTATAGCATCACCAAAAGTTCGTCGTGTCGCTGGTGACGTTGTGATGACAGACTGGGTGACCTTTCGAAAGCGCCCTCTGCCGGAGCAAACGCCCTGTGATGTCAGTGGGTGGGTTGCTTTCATTCGAGAAACGCATGATGCCACCTCTAAGAAAATAGCGCGCACAGTTGAGGCGCCTGCGATAGACCGGCACCTATTGCACATGTGGGATAGTAGGCGACGCCTGATCAAGAGATGGAAAAAACAACGCCTCAACCGCTGCCTCTACAGGCGAATCGCTGCTCTGTCGGAGGAAGCGAATGAATACGCAACGAAACTTGCCACCGATGGTTGGGTGCAGTTTTGCGGTTCTCTCCGCGGTACACTAGGGACTAGCCAGACGTGGGCGATACTGAGGTCCATGCTGGAGCCGGACAAATCTAAGTCCTCCATGAACCGCATTCTTCAAAGAATAGTACACAGCTACCCCGGCACCGACGGAGAGTTGATCCAGGCGCTTAAAGACCGTTATATCGGTACTGATGTGTTCCGCCATGTACATTAGAGTACATCGGCAGCGAGAATGCCACATTAGACGCCGCAATCACGAAAGAAGAGGTTTTCGCGGCAGCCCAGGCAGCCAATCGGAACTCTGCGCCGGGGTCGGATGGTATAACAAACGCTATGATAAGAAACCTCAGCACTGAGGTTCTTGAGCAGATAACGCAATTTCTTAACGACCACTGCTGGTCCCAAGGTCACGTTCCTCCGGAGTGGAAGGAAGCCAAAATAATAACTATACCAAAGCCCGGTAAAGCACCATCGCTCGGAGCCCTGCGGCCCATTTCGCTTACTTCGTGCATGGGCAAGCTCTACGAGCGAGTAGTACAGACACGGCTTCAAAATTACATTGAAAAAGAAAATCTGTTTCCCGCTACCATGATTGGTTTTCGCTCCGGACTCTCAACCCAGGATGCCTTCCTCCTTTTAAAAGAAGAGGTCATGAGTTGCGTACCCAGGGGAGGCGAACATTTGGTCTTGGCCCTCGACCTCAAAGGGGCCTTTGATAATGTTTCGCACGAGGCCATTCTCTCTGAACTCAACACAATCGGCTGCGGAAAGCGTACATTTAACTACATTAAATCCTTCCTCTCTGGGCGGACGGCAACTATTGGGATAGGCGACACGAGGTCGGTGCCGTTCTCGATGCCAAATAAAGGCACACCGCAAGGGGCAGTCATCTCCCCCTTGCTCTTTAACATAGCTATGCGCAGACTTGCTCACGAGCTCGAAGCAATCCCGCACCTTGGATATACATTGTATGCGGACGACATCACACTCTGGGCTACGAAGGGTTCACTGGCGCTGAAAGAGCAGACCCTCCAGGCTGCTGCGACAGCTGTGGCAGAGTTCGCAAGAAATAGTGGGCTGAGCTGTGCGCCTGAAAAATCTGAACTCATAAGAATACACAGTAAGTATTACAAAAGTAACGGTGCCATAAACTTACAGGTAGACGGCCATGCCATAGCCGAGGTTACTCAGGCCCGTATACTTGGCTTCTGGGTCCAAAGCAATGGCAAAGCCAGTCACACGATAACCACCTTAAAGACTACGGTTAAACAGATAGCTAGAATGATCCGTCGCATCACTTATCATAAAAAAGGCATGAAAGAAAAGGATACTCTCCGGCTTGTCCAGGCCTTAGTTTTGAGCAGAGTGACGTATGGCCTACCGTACCACTCACTCGACAGAAGTGAGGAGAGCCAGGTGGATGTGCTCATTAGAAGCGCTTTTAAGGCAGCACTTGGTCTACCCACCAGCACACCGACCGAGCGGCTCCTAGCTCTCGGTATACATAACACTTATGCTGAGCTCAGTGCCGCAGTCCTCATGTCTCAGAGGAATCGTCTAAGTGAAACTTCAGCAGGCAGGGCGATACTCACTAGAATAGGAATTTCGCCCCACCCACAGCACATTGATGAGGAGCTGGTCGACGTAGCCCAAGAGGTCCGCAGGCGAATCTCAATCGCACCGGTGCCCAAAAATATGCATCACGACTTTCACGCTGAGCGACGTACTGCGAGGGTAAACTGGCTTCGAAAGCAATTCGGCTCAGCTTCAAATGTCGCGTACGTCGATGCGGCCAGTTTCGATTGGCAGAGACACATAATTACTGTTGTCGACAACAACATGACGCTGCTAACGAGTGCCTCCGTACGCACGACCTCGGCTACAAAGGCGGAGACGATGGCATAGCCTTAGCCTTAAGGTTTCAGGAGCGTAGGGGGAGCCATCAGTTATTTTATCCGACTCCCAGGAAGCCTGCCGGCTCTTTTTAAGGGGCCGCCTTCCAGCAATGGGGCTGAGGTTGCTAGGATCCAAACTCACTCACCACCATCGCTTGATCTGGTGCCCGGGACACGCAGGTCTCGAAGGCAATGAAAGGGCGGACGCTCTAGCTCGTGCGTTTTGTAACCGAGCGGAGAATCCATCTCTTTCATTGACCATGCCAATTTACCTAGGGAGATTCTAGCTCACCAGCGCTTCACGCGTCAAAAATGTGGAACACCTCACAGATCCCTTAATGGGGAAGAGGCCACTGACCTTAGAAAAATTCAAACGGATGTATTTCCGCACCTACTGAAGTTACACGCGATACATCCAACTCTTTACCCGGCTGTATGTCCGTGGTGCGGCGGAAGACCGACTCTCTACCACATATCGTGGGGGTGCGATCGTAAACCAAGTGACATAACCAATTTTCTCGGCGAACCTTTAACACCTAGTATGGAGCAGTGGGAGGCACACCTCGCTAGCTCGGACCCAGGAGTGCAGCTCGCACTACTGGATCAAGTCCGGCGGGCGGCTAAGGCCAGTGGAGCCCTGGACGTAGGGCCCCAACCATAAAGGCTCTAAAACGCCCCTCTCCCTTTCCCCTTCAATAAAGTTTTACTCTCTCTCTCCTTGTTCGAGACCCGGCCAAGACGGCCCGTTGCAGCCCGATAGCTTTGAAGAGCTCGTTTCACGGGAATGTCGGGAATATTGTCTGTGGATGCATCCTCCGAAAAGGCATTTGTAACGTTCCTCTCCGGCAGTTGTCGCGGCGACACTGTCCGTCGTGTTGATGTCCGTGGCGCTGCCGTACTGGGTTCTTCAAAGCACGGGAAGCCTGGAGACGCTGGCCCAGTTCGTGTTCGGAGACCGCGTCTGTATGTTGCTCTCCTCCGCGCTGCCCACGGTGGCCGCCTTCAACGTGGACACCATTCTCTTGTATCATCCAGACGCTTCGGAATCCACAACTCTATCTGAAGTCGCCACCTATGCAGAAGAATGCAGGCAACTCGCGCGTTCCTTAACCGCCCAAGATCAAGCGTACCAGAAGAACCGTCACGACGAAAACCTGTCTTCGCAGTCATACTCGCCTGGCGCCTTGGTATGGCTTCGGGTTCCCTCATCTGTTCCTGGTCTTTCCACCAAGCTACTGCCGAAGTACGAAGGCCCCTACCGAGTCCTACGTCAGGCCTCACCGGTTAACTATATTGTTGAGCCGGTTCAACCATCAACAGACCGACGGCATCGAGGCCGCGAGACTGTTCACGTAGATCGATTGAAGCCGCACTACGACCCACCCGTCGTACCCGTTCCATAGGTCGCCAGGATGGCTCCTTTTCTGAGGGGGGAGTGATTTGTAGCATTGATATTTGGCACAGGCCGGAACGCCAGCTGAAGAAGAGAAGGAAGAGTGTTGTTGCTGCTCGCGCTCGCTCCGCTTGACAGCTGGTCGGTTCTACCGCTACGTTTTCCACAAAGTAAACGTCTCTTCTGCTCACCACTAAAGGTGTACTATCACCTATAATAAAAAATGCAGGCTTCGTCTATGCGAAACCGTCATTTCAGTACACCACACTTCTCTTCTTAAAGTCCTGGTGATTAGCAGCACGCACGACTTTATCTTCTGACTCGAAGGGCCCCGCATTCAACGACGATGGTTGTGCGCGCAGGTGGCGCTGCATGGCAGAAAGTCCATTACGTGACCTTGGGCATCGTTCCTGCCACTGTGCTCGAAGTGTGGGTTGTCAGCATCCTGACGATGGCCGTCATGGTACTGCTCATTGGCTACTGCTCCAACGTGCTGCCTTGGAGCACTGCGCTTCCACTGCACCCGCTCTTCTTCTTCAAGGTAAGCACTATAGGGACTGGCCATTTTCGTCACAGTGCTTAGACACGGAGATGTCACTTGCGTTTTACCCGTTCCACGAAGTATGAATCAAGGGCGCAGTGCAGGGTCGGTGGAGTTTCGCCTGAGTTTCGCGAAACTTGGGATATTCCCAAGCTCTGGAGGCAACCCCTTCTGAACGAGTCAACAAGTACGAAAAAGTGAAATCCACTTCTCAGCGCACTGCGTTTCATTGGTTACGATGAAACCAGTCATCGCGTCGAGGATGGTCGACTTAGTTGGGCAGTGTTTTCAAACCCGAGCCATCTTCTTTCCCTTCTTTCTTGTTCCACTGAGTGCAGAATTGCATCCTTGTTTAATTTATAAAAACTATAGCCTTTCTTGGAAGACCTTCGACGTAAAAATTTTTGTCTGTCTGTCTGTCTGTCTGTCTGTCTGTCTGTCTGTCTGTACTTTTGTCTGTTTTTTCCGCCTTTAACGATGCTACTCTAAACGGCACCAAACGTTACTCCGCACGGTCGACCCTATCCGCAGCGTCCACCAATATTGCTCAAGATTTAGCGTTCATACTTGTGCGATTGTCAATTAAAAAACTTGCCTTGTATCTGTATGTTAATTTTCAAATGTTGTCGAAAGACGATAGTCTTGCGTGTGGAGAGAGTGAACAAAACATTTATTTGATGTTCTGCGCAAGAAATCGGAGAATGGTATTCTGGAGGCGAAACATTAGAGTGCCTCGAGCGTGCAGCGGAGGCGGATGAGCGCATCAAGCCACGTCAAACGTGAGACATGACCGCCACCTGGAAGTTTTCTTGGAAAAAGGAGCGCGCTGCTCTGAGACGGGTGTGTGCGCCCGTCTCACAGCCACGCGCTTCCACGCGTTACAGCAACTAGGAGGGTGCAAGAAATTTTAGGAAGAGCTTTTGGGCAGTTTTTATCGTAGATTTTTTGCAATCGGAAAGGTAAAGGCTGCCAGAAACCGCAAATATGATTTTGGAAAAATATTTATTTACCATTTTCGCGATGCGAAGAACGCGCCATCCCTTAAATGCAAAGTCTCATTAGGCTTGCAAGGTAAAGCACCCACAACATCATTGATAACACTGGAAAGCATAAGCAGGAATTTTTTCTGGCTATGGGCCTGATACTGAGAAATAGGATGGGACATAGGATGGCATTACATGAATTTTGCCATCAAGCATGCAATGGCAGCATTACAACAAATCAATACAGAATACCATCTGTTATTAAAGTGCGGGAAGAGCTAAAAAAAGAATGCAATGACATATCACGAAGAAGTTACAAATCAATATGTCGTTTCAGTGGGTGGTCGATTAAGGGAGGACGCTTTATACGGGCACCGTAAAACTATAGGTTTTCGTTTTCAGGTGGGAGGCCGGGAGTTGCAACATGCGCAAGATTCTACTTGTTATACCTGAAATGCCTCCGAAAAACCGTCTCAGTCAATATTGCCGCGAACGTAATAACAGACAGCGACGAAACGACGTCTTGCTTGCCCTCAGACCAGGACGCAAAAGCCCTCTTCTTTCTTCACTTCAAAGGGATTCCGCCTACACTTGATGGCTCATACCCATTACCTGTGACATTACTCCCTCTCCTCGAAAAGCATCGGCTCGATGCTGGTAATGAGCGATGAGAAAAAAAAAGAGAAAGAAAAGATGCTACCATGGAACCCAACGACTCCGTCGTAAGGGAGAAAAAAAAATGGGCTGGCGTCCTAGAAGTACTCAATAAAGAAAGGAGTAAGTACACAAGACAATAAAAAAAACCAAAGGGACAAAAAATAGTCATTGGATGGTAAGTTAGTCCACGTTCGATGGATGACGCGAGAAATATGGCTTGAGTCTTGACACGTGCACCACATCACTTTGTGGAAACCGACGGGAACGTCTTGAGGCGCCCTCAGGGAGAACTTCATACGTAACGTCACTGAGTCGGCGCAGAACTTTGTAAGGGCCGAAGTAGCGCCGAAGCAACTTTTCAGAGTGACTACGCTGTCGGATGGGAGTCCACACCCAAACTTCATCGCCTGGTTGGAAGGTAACCTCTCGGTGTGTAAGGTTGTATCGGTGTGCGTCGGCAGTTTGGCGAGCCTGAATACGGCATCGGGCGAGTTGACGGGCCTCCTCGGCGCGTTGAGCGAACAATGCAGCGTCCGTGTTGAACATGCTCAAGTGGTTGGGAAGGAGCATTGCGTCGAGCATTGTGGTGACCTCTCGACCATGAACTAAGCGAAATGGGGTGAAACCTGTACTCTCTTGGACTGCTGTATTGTAAGCAAAAGTTACGTAAGGGAGTATATCATCCCAGTTCTTGTGATCAACGGCCACATACATTGACAGCATATCTGCAATGATCTTGTTCAACCGTTCAGTGAGCCCATTTGTTTGGGGGTGATAACCCGTGGTTTTCCGATGTTCTGTACCACTTAGTCTCAGCACTTCTTGAAGCATCTCTGCGGTGAAAGCTGTACCACGATCAGTAATTATCACAGCTGGCGCTCCGTGACGAAGTACGATGCTGGTGACAAAAAACTGTGCAATTTAGGCTGCGGTAGCTTTGGGCAGGGCCTTTGTTTCGCTGTAACGCGTTAAATAATCGGTGGCAACCACAATCCACCGGTTTCCAGATGAAGAGGTGGGAAATGAGCCGAGCAAGTCAATGCCAATTTGATGGAATGGTGTCTTCGGCGTGGCGATAGGCTGTAATAGTCCTGCTGGTCGGACAGGCGGAGTCTTACGGCGTTGGCAGTCGCGGCATGTGCGGACGTACTGCTTGACTGTCTTCGCGAGGCGGGGCCAGTAGTATGAGCGGCGAATTCTTTCCAATGTGCGCGTGTAGCCAAGGTGTCCGGATGATGGTTCGTCGTGACAAGCATGTAAAATATCGTCCCGAAGCGAGGTCGGCGCAACCAGTAGGTAAGTAGCCTGGGTATGGTCGAAATTTTTCTTATAGAGGACTCCATCCCTGATGCAGAACGAGGCCAGCGAACGTGCAAAGTTTCGAGAAAGGCTGCGTTTTCGGCCTTCGAGGTAGTCAATCAGCGGGCTTAGCTCCATGTCGTCGCGTTGTTGTTGAGCCAAGTCGGTTTCTGACACAGAGGAAAGGAATGTATCGTCCTCTTCAACGTCCGCGTTCGTACTTCGAATTGGTGCACGCGAGAGACAGTCAGCATCAGTGTGTTTGCGTCCTGACTTGTGAATGACTGTAACGTCAAATTCTTGCAGCCGAAGGCTCCAGCGTGCTAGACGACCGGAAGGGTCTTTGAGGTTGGCGAGCCAGCATAAAGAATGGTGGTCGCTAACTACCCTGAATGGTCGACCGTATAAATAATGGCGAAACTTTGTTATAGCCCAAACAACGGCTAAGCATTCTTTTTCTGTTGCAGAGTAGTTTTTCTCTGCAGATGATAGTGTTCGACTTGCATAGGCAATCACGCGCTCTACGCCATTTTGCCATTGAACCAGTACAGCTCCAAGTCCGACGTTGCCGGCATCCGTGTGTAGCTCTGTGGCAGCGTTATCGTCAAAGTGACCGAGTACAGGTGGGGCTTGGAGATGATTTCGTAGCGTGTCAAAGGCGTGATCCTGATCATGACCCCAAACAAACGGTACGCCGTCTTTCGTAAGTTCATTTAGCGGTTCAGCGATTTTAGAAAAGCCTTTGACGAAGCGTCTGTAATATGCGCAGAGTCCCAGAAATCGGCGGAGGTCGCGCTTGTTCGTTGGGACAGGAAATGCGGCAACAGCTTTCGTTTTCTCAGGGTCTGGGTGTATACCGGCGTGGCTGACGACGTGACCAAGAAATTTTAGTTCCTCGAATGCAAAGTGGCATTTCTCAGGTTTGAGAGAAAGTCCAGCTGTTCGAATCGCTTGAAGAACTGCCTGTAAGCGCTGGACGTGCTGCTCAAACGTGTCCGAGAAGACGACCACATCGTCAAGGTACACAAGACACGATTGCCATTTTAGCCCAGAAAGAACCGTGTCCATCATTCTTTGAAAAGTAGCTGGTGCCGAGCATAAGCCGAAGGGAAGGACCTTGAACTCGTAGAGTCCGTCAGGAGTAATGAAGGCGGTCTTTTCGCGGTCGCGCTCATCAACAGATATTTGCCAATAGCCGCTGCGTAGATCCATGGAAGAAAAGTAGCGAGCATTGCGAATGCGGTCCAGCGAGTCGTCTATTCGTGGTAAAGGATACACGTCTTTCTTCGTGATCTTATTCAACTTTCGGTAGTCGACGCAAAATCGCAGAGTACCATCTTTTTTCTTGACTAACACAACAGGGGACGCCCAGGGACTGGTCGATGGCTGGATGACATCGTCCTTGAGCATCTGCTGAACCTGTTGGCGTATAACGTCTTGTTCTTTTTGCGAGACCCTGTAGGCATGCTGTCGAATGGGTCTCTCGGTAGGCTCGGTGATGATACGATGCTTGGCAAGCGGTGTTTGGTTAACTTTCGAAGTCGTAGCGAAGCAGTCCCGAAATGAGCCGAGTAGCTTCAAAAGACGTTCCCGTTGTGCAGACGGTAGACCCTGGTTTACGTCCAGAGTGCTTGCAAATGTCATGGCGGAATCGTCGCACGACGAAAGAGCAGATAATGTTGAGGGACCAGGGACGTCGGCAATATCCTCAAGGTATGCGATCGCAGTGTGTTTGGTAAGATGGCGATACTCCTCGCTGAAATTCGTGACGAATAGGCAAGCCTGCTTTCTGCTGGGCTGAACAATACCTCGGGCAACGCAGATTTGTTGTGCAAAAAGTAGGGACAAATTTCCTTCTGCAATTACAGCATCGGAGACGTCTTGGTCACATTCAACGTTGATAAAAAGGCTGCTGCGGGGAGGCAGAGTAACAGATTCGGAGGATACACGTAGGGCAGCCTTCGATGAGCGGGCGTTTTCCGGTTCAGGATGAAACGGGTCCTCGAACGACACCTGCAAGTCTCGTAGGTCAATAATTGCGCCGTGTTCGCGAAGAAAGTC